ATCCAATCAATCTCTATGTATGACTCTAAAGAGCCCCACACTCTGCTTTCTATAAAGTCCAACAACAAATGGGCCCATTTAACATTCTAATTTATGACTAATGAGAAGCACAAAAGAAGAGTTATTCCTTGTAAAAGGCTTCATGAGCAAAATTTGAAATCATAGCTTCTTCCAACTAAATTACAAGTTCTGATGCAGGATGCACCATTCTTAAAACTGCATTGGTTTGAATTGAACAACTTTTAACAAAAAAGAAAAAAGAGAAAAAAAAGATCTTGAATCTCAGTGTTCAGAAGGCCCGACAACAGTGCATAAACTGAATGCAGTGGAAGAAGTGTAAACAAATGAGAACAATGTGCACTTGAAACACTCTTTGAGACGTTGGGTCAGGAGCACCTGTCTAAAAACTCACACCACCACATTCAATAACAAGTTTAACAGCCCTGGGTTCACACAAACTTTGTAAAAAGGCTCACAGTCCCTAAGCTTTTCCCTCTGTGCTTTGTGACTCTTCAGATTCCGTTGGAGACTTATCTAACTCCTCGGTACGCTGGCTGGTGTCATTTACAAATCCTCTGTGCAAACATCTGATGCGATTTATTACACCTGTGAGGCTGGAGCACTGCCCGGGAAAGAGAATTCCTGGTCAGAACTCAGTACGATAAATAAAGAAGTATTTTAAGTTATCACGGAAAAGAGTAAAAAATAATTCTGAGAAATTAATAAATTTGTGTGAGGGAGTGGAGGAACCCAAGAGAGGTGATGACAGAGGAACAAAAATGACTACCGTGGACCAAATCAACTAAAACAAAGAAAAACACATAAAGTGGGACCAGATATATACAGAAATAAACAAGTCAAGGATGGGAAAACAAGACAGAATATTGGTGTGGTGAAAATCATGTAAAAAGAGTGATTCAAGGAAACCTTGCCACTTTCTAGGCATACAGTGATAGTCTGAGGTCCTGGGAGTAGAACCCCAAAACAGAATGGAAAAGACGAACAATGCAAAATAACACTTGGAAATACATTTAGGAGGCAGACACTGTTGTGAGGGAGAGAGGATAATGGCTTCACACCTTACTCTGATTTATGGATATTGAAGAAGGCTCTAATGCATGACTTATCTGCACCACATCCTCTAACATTAAGCAATGGATATCCTTCCAAAGTCAAGGATTTTGGAAGTGAACACATCTGCACCCGAGAGGAAATAAGGCCAAGAATGACTTTGACCTGGTGTTGGCTGGTAAAGTGACTGATGGTCCTCAGGAAGGGATGGAAGTCCCTCTCAACTTTTCACATGTCCTCTGAATTACCATGTGGGATTTCAGAATCTCTTTTAAGTATGATGTACTCTTGATTTGGGCCACTTTTTGGATTATTCTCTCCAGGACAGTGGGCCTGGCAGTGAACACGAAATCTACTTAGACACCCAGCTTGGCTAAGATCATCCTGGTACAAGGTCATAGGCCAGACAGTGTAGACCAACCCTTAGCTAAGCTTCAAGCAAGCACATCCTTGACTTTAGAAATGTTTGTACCTAGGAATGAAAGATTCAGTGCAGTATTACTTCAAGGATGTTCCCTTGGAGGTTAGCAAACAGCTTGTTACTGGTCTGTGAGGAGGTTAATACAGACATTGAAATTTGTAGAGCAATAATACATTTAGTTCTGTTGACTCTAAATAATAGAAAACAGAAAACAAGGAACACATAATTTGTATTTGTAAATTTATTTTTCTAATTAATCTATACTTCATTATTTTTTTTTCATTTATTGATTCCAGAGAGAGGGCAAGGGACGGGAGGGAGAAAGAGAGGGAGAGAAACATCCTGCATGTGCCTCGATCAGGGACCAGACCCGCAACCCGGGCATGTGCCCTCACCGGGAACTGAACCTGTGACATTTCAGTTTGTGGAACAACGCCCAACCAACTGAGCTACACCTGCCAGGTGTAATTCATTCTTATCATACTTTAGAAAAGTATCAGTGCACAACTTATTGGGGGGAAGCTATCTTTCAACACAGATCGCGTGAGAAGTATGATTTGAAGGCCAAAGAGTGGAGAGTGGGCTTACAGGAATGGAGCAGAAAGGCCTGGATTTTTCTAGGTTGTAAGGCATGGGAACAGAAGTAGCTCCTGCAAATTCTCCAAGATTGATTTCAGGATACAGGAGATTCAGCTAGAGTCAACACATCATTATTAGCAAAACAGATGTGCATTTTACTCAAAAGTTAATATATGCTCCTTTGAGAGCCAGTGTTAGGGGTTGGCCACTGGGCAAGGGTTCAGGACTCTGAAATGTTAGCCACAATTTTTTCACATATCAGTGTGAACAGTGACTAGTAAAAATGTTTAACCCCTCAGAGCCTCAGATTTCTCACCTGAAAAATATCATTATGTTCTTTATAGGAATGCTGTGATGATTCGAGATAAGCAAAAGTAAACATGCCAGTATTTATAGAAAGCTCAATAAAGACTAGCTTTCTGTTGAATTCTATAAGTTAACTGATTCATGTTGACTGTTACAGTGTAACCATTTTTTTGGATAGGTCCCACTGTTATTGTTGATGGGTATTTTGTGGTGGTGGTGGTGGTGTTCTCTTTTTCTCTATTATCCTAAATCCAAAGTTGAAACCATACAGTTCACAACCCACTCCCAGGTGGCTTTCATCTCTAACCAACCTCTTAGCTGAGTTCCAAATGCTCCTACTCCTACCCTTTGATAGCTCCACGTGGATGTGTCAAAAACCTTAAACTCAACATGTCCAGATTGGAACCTGACTAGTTTCCTCTGTCCTCTTTCATTAGAAGGCTCATACTATGCATCTCAATGTGCACCCGCCAACTGTGAAGCCCCTCTGACATCCAAGTCATCACATGAAAGTTTCCTTCTAAATAGTTCTCCAAAACGTCCACTCTCTCCTGCACCAGCACCACCTTGTTAATCCAAGATCATTTTCTCTCACATGAACCATCCTTCCTGAATCCACCTTTCAATTTCTCTTACCTGTCATTCTCAAATTCGCTTTTGTCTCCCTCTAATGCATCCAATACTCTTTTGAGAAGAAAGTTTTCAAAAAAGAAAATCAAATCACATCAATCACTACTGCCACTCCTGCTTAACCATTTGCTCCACCAGCTCCCCACACTCTCAGGAATGAGACTAACATTTGCACAGAGCCCATCAGGCCACTGGTCGTCCTTCCTGTTACCAAGTTCAACTACTTCCACACCCCCTACTCCTTATACTCTAAGAAAACCCATTTTTGAACTTGCCAAGTTTTTTCTTCCCACCGTGGAGAATCTGCACTGCAGTTAACCCTGCCTGAACACTGTCTTCCAAATCAACTTAGGACACTTCAATGGCCTATAAGGAAAACAAGACAAAATATTTGAAAGGGGGATAATTTGAGAAAGCCTAAACATATGATCACCAGAACTATGACTTAAACGTCACTCACGGATTTATTCTTAATTACTATAGACTCAGACAAAAAAAGTAACATATCCTCCTAATGTGCTTCCTCTTGGTAATTTTCTTCAGGAAACATCACAGAATTCCTGATACTTTTCTATTTACAACAAAAAGATACTGTTTCCCAGGAAATACTGTCTGACTTTTGGAATCATTTTATCCTTCAAGACTCTGTGATCCCAGCCCTGTTCTATCATATGAGGGCCAAGCTCCCAGGCCTGTCTGGATCCTAAATCCCTGAAGTCTAATGGTAAGAAAGACGCATTCCCTACCATGCTGAGTTGTTTCACTGATTAAACGAGACACACACTCATGAGTATACCCAACTTTCCTCCCTGCATCACTGTTAATACATGTTTCTTGAGTAAGCTTGTATCAAATCCCACTTCATAGGAACTTTAAATAAAGGTTTCAGGAAGAAAAGAATATTTTCAACTTTATGCTCCTTTTCAGATAAGAAGTCCCTCAAATGGCTGCCCAGATTTTCTGCTTGGACTTCTAACCTAGCAGCCCACCTCCTTATTTGGGTCCATTATCCTTCTGGAGGCAAACTTCTCTGACATTTTAACTTCTGAGTCCTGCAGTTGTCTGGTTAACTCAGCACTTCTCCCTGGGCACACGGGGCCTCTCTAGGCTATGTCTCTCTTCCCACTGTTGTCCTCGCCCAGAGTTGGGTAAATGAAGCTATAGTGACACATCTTTATGTGGCTGCCTAAAGATGCATATGGAATAAAGAGGCAAACAGTCCAGTTTCACATATCAGAAAATACTGACACAAACATAATTATCTGCTAAGGAGTTTATTCTCTAGTACAGTGTCATTCCTATCCTCTGGTAGACTCTTAGAAGCTCTATCACTATTCTGTTTCTTGGAGTCAGTTTATGAACAATCCTAGCAGCATAGTTTTTCTTTCCAAAATACTCATACCAGCAGCATGACAAATGGTTAAAACAAAACAAAACAAAAAACCACACTTCCTGCTGTGGAATTGATTTAAGGGATCAGGTTTTTAAAAACTAATAATTGGCTTTTGCTGCTTACTAAGGAGCCTATGTGCTCTACCTTACTGTGCATGTGTGATGTTTGGAGGCAGAAGCATCTCAGAGCACCATTTCAGGAGAAAACGCAACTCAGTTCTTTCCGAAACTCAGGCCCAGCTCTGAGAGTCAGTGGACTTGGGTGCTATTCCCCAAAATGTGTTCTTGGAAACACTAGCATACAATTCTTTAGTCATGAGTTTCTGTTAAAACTAGGTTTTAATAATTTATATGACTGCCCTGGTTGATGTGACTCAGGGTATTGAGTGCCAGCCTGCAAACGAAAGGGTCGCCAGTTCGATTCCCAGTCAGGGCACATGCCTGGGTTGTGGGCCAAGTCCTCACTGGGGCGCGCACGAGAGGCAACCATACACTGATGTTTCTCTCCCTCCTTCTCCCTCCTTTCACTTCTGTCTAAAAATAAATAAATAAAATCTTTAAAAAAATATATTTAAAAACGTTAAAAAATTTTTTGACCAACCTGCAAATATTGTTGACCGAATCTTCTGGACAATGGTGGTGGCATCTACATCGCAAGAGCTTTGGACGAGGGGTGGGAGCTGTATTCTCACCATCCCCTTTCTTGGTGCCCAGGTTTAATTTTCCTGAACTTCGCAAAAGCATGTTGTCAAGGAAGTCTGCTGAAAAGAAGAAAAAGTGAACATTGAAGCACCTGTGGGACAGTCCAAAGCCTTTTGTTCAAAGAATCATGTGATATCTAAACAAAATATTAAATTTTCAAGATATTTAAAGGTTTAAACAGAAAACAAGTATTTTGATGTTTTTGACACTAAAATTATACTTTTTAAAAATAAGAGGTAAGTTATATATAACATATGCAACATATGTAACTATATGTCTCAGATAAAATATAGAAATTCTCATAATCCTTTCATTAAATTATAATAACTGTTATTTGAGTGTGAGGACCTCAGTGAGACACTATTTTATGGATTTTCACTCTGTATTATCGTACTGTGGGTAAATATTATGATTCCCATTTTCAGATGAGAAAATTAAGGCTAAAAGTTTAAGTGATCTTCATACAAATAATAAATCATGAAGCCAGCATTTAAACCGAGATTATTTGAGCCTTAAAACTCTCTTTCCAGCAGTCTTTTTACTTTAGGGGCCTCTTTACTTTAGCTATAATATGTATTTTTAAACAAGTTATTAGAAATATTTAACCTGAAAAACTGGGTAGGAAGATGAAAACTTAGTTACTGTTAAGATTCATTTCAAAAGATACATCTTCCCCATCAGCTTTTACACGCAAAGTGCCTGCCCATGTCAGTAGCAATGGTTCTGCATCTGTGGCGGAAGACACTATACTGCACATGATCACTAGAGACAGACTCCCTGGGTTCAACACCAAGTTTCGCTACATACCAGTTCGTGACCTTGGCTAACTTTATAAATAATCTCATCGTGTCTCATTTCCTTACCCTTAAAATGGAGATAATTATAAGCACCTGCCTCATGTCAAGAACTTAGAATATATATGTCACACAGTAATACTGGATACAATGTCAACTAGTATTGTTAAAATAATATATGAATTTTCACATTTTAAATAGTAAGACAATGTTTCATTATGTAACACAGTTTTCAAATTTCCCTTCTTTCCAACCACACTTTTGGAAAGTAATTATGTCAGTTGGACAAGGGGGCATGCATTAATTGACATGTGCTATGTTTTGGAGCATTGTGGTAAAGTTCTCCCACATGTGTGTCACCGCACAAACTGCCACCCTGAGAGCAGTGTTTGATTTTAACTCTCTCACAACACATTGGCAGGCTTATAATTAAATCAAACTTCAATAAAAATATTATCTAAAAGACTGTTGGACTACAAATATAAAATTCTAGGCCAAAGTGCAATATACACAATAGATGTGTACAGTGTGCATGTGTTACTGTTACTTTTAAAAACTGCAAATAAATGCCTCCAGTCATTGGTGACATCAGAGAATCAAAGGTTTAGAAGAAGATCAGTAGTGATTTTTCCTGATTTTCTGTATGTATTTCTGTACGTAAGGAATTAGTTGAGTTCTGGTTCTCAATATCACTAAGGTTATAGCCCAAATAGCCTCAAAGTAGTGTGAAGTGATGAAAATAGGATATTTGAAACTTATGTACTGCTTCTCTTGGAAATTAGAAACAAAATGATAAAATTTCATTTATTATGCATATGTCTACTTAGCAAACATGTACTGAGTACTTATCCTCTTCCAGGCAGAGCCTGCAAATAGAATAAACTAAACACACAAAATTTAACATTTGGTGAGAAAAGTCATTAATGAAATGTTTACAGAGATTGGCCTACATTAGAAGGGAAATATCCTCATGAGTGTCATTTTATAAGAAATATTTTAAAGGGGTCATAATTTTTTACATTTAAAATTTATTTTAGTTAAAGAATGATATAAAATGCATCTATTAGAAGATTTTTTGCAATATTGCTTATAATAACCTATTTTTAAAACAACAGAAAATAAGTTAGATCTCTAAAGTGAGATTCCTATGTAGTCATTAAAATGTTGCTATAGAAGTATTCACAAGAAAGAATATTAAAATATGATTTTCTGTTGGAAAGGCCAGATTCAAAAATTATATTTTAATAACAAAAAAAGGGACTAAAAATGAACCTACAGTATAAAAGAGATCAAGAGAAGACACTGGCAATAAAAACCTGGAAAGTGGAAGGACAAGCAGAAACTAATAAGAAAGCCAAAAATGTAGATCCTAAGCCAAAGGCAGGGAGAAGCTAAGGGGCAAAACAGTTTTATCACTCAGCCCTCAGAGGCTCCAGAGTGGTACCACAGGTTACTTTTAGAAATGAGAGAGAAGGGAATATCAAAACAGAAGGAGGCTTAAATCTGCTTTAGACGTTGTAAGAGCTTCAGCTATCCTTTCCTAGTCTCCACATGCTAGCAGCAGCCCTCCTTCCCCAGTCCTACAGAAGAATGGGAGGGTCAGTCTGCTGCATGCACCACCGGGAAGCCTTGTTTCCCCATTTTGCACCAAGGTGGGGAACTACAGGAAACCAAGCATAGAGGCAGGCAGGGGCACAAACTTACTGCAAATACTCAGGGAACATTTACACGAGATGTTGACACCTCCCATTGTTCCCACCCTCCCTCACCATCCCACATGGCTTACAGAACTCAGTGTAGCTTGGCTTATGTCTTCTTTATCCTCCAGGAATCTGACCAGGTCACGAAGAAGCAAAACACCTAAAGATAGGGATATGAAAGAGACATCTCAGTGAAACAGTACTGCAATATTATCCTACAGTGAAGCCCTTGGGTGATAAGATCTACCCCTGTGCACAGAGCTGCTAATCAGCTTTCATAGTGCTCCATTCTCTTTTTCATAAGCCACTAATTCAAGGTCACTAGCTATATGAAGAAAGCCTCAAACATCAAAGACCGAGAACAAAATAAATACATAGACAAAAGTCACGTGAAAGAAACATTATATGAAAGCAAATAAAAAATTGATAAATATTTAAATACTTTCAGCTTATAAAAATACATTGATGAAACAAGAACATGTTGCTATAAAAAAGAATAACAAATAAGAAACTCTAAAAATATGACTGCATAAATGAAAATCTCAGTAGGTGAGTTGAAAGATAAAGATTAGGAAATCTCCCAAATATAAGGCAAAAGACAGAGATGGAAAAGTTAATTAAATTAAAGCATCAACTCAGGAAGTTCAATATCATAATAATAATAGTTCTAGAAAGAGACCTGAGAAAATAGAGGGGAGGAAATAATCAAATAAATGAATCGTGTAAGTTTCCCATCATTGAAAATCATGATTTTTTAGTTTGAAATGACCCACAGAGTATACAAATAGACCCAAGTCAGGGGCAAGTCAAGGTATGTCATGCAAAATTTTACAACACTGCAGGCAAAGGAAGATCCTAAGTTTTGAGAGAGAGCAAGAGTGAGAGAGAAATCAATATGTGAGCAAATTACAAATCAACTCTGAGGGCAAGAAAAAAAAGCATTCTAATTTACCTCACATGTACCTTTCACAAAAAGTTATTGGAGCGGATGCTCCACCCAAATGAAGGTGTAAATAAGAAAACAGAATATGGTCCTGCTAATAGAAGACCCCACTCAAGAGCAAGGTGAAACAGTAAGTGGATCAGTAAGATGTGACCTATATAGTGAACCTAAGAAACAAGGAGACCTAATTGAAGGTAGGTCAGAAAACTCTAGGAGAGAGATCTCCAAGAAGTTGAAATTAATAGAATAACTCACTTATTTTAAATAGAAACTGATTGAGAGTTCAGAAATGAATTTGTGATAGGAACATAAGAAACCATAGAAACAAGTAACATTTTAATTCTTAATATATACAGGATGGGAGACAGAATATGTGTGTGTATGTAGTGGAGGTGAGGGTTGAAAAAGACAGCTAAATCCTTCCCCTCAATAGTTGGAAGTCCAAAGTAATGCCTAACATTGAATTATCAAGAAGTAGCAGTACATTTATTTGTTCAGAGATATGCAATAAAATACCAAAAGAAAGAAAGTGAAGAGACATAGTTGCAGTTACTATTGGATAAAGACAGGTTGGGAGGATGCTTTTTTTTAAAAAAAATAAAGCCTGTTTAAGCTGTTAAAACAAAAAAAAACAGATTTTAAAATAGTGTATCTTACATGATGATCCCACTGTAGCTTATGTATACATGTGTATGAGATAAATTTATGGAAGGACTCACATCTATATGGATGTTTATAAAATACATGGAGAGCCTACTCTACTTCTTGTAGGAAAATATAATTATCTCTGCTAGGGAACATTGAATTTTGCATCATGAAATGTTCAGTTTTCATCCATATGGGCCTTAATCCCTGTTTTCACATCAGCATGGATGTATGGAGTAGCAACGGGTAACAGTTGGAGCTACTTAAGAACATTTGAAAACTGCTTTTCAGTCTAAAACAGAAGTAATTAGTCTTATACACTGGCATGGAATAAAGGATATCAGTGAACAAAGAAGAATTAGGAAGTAAAAAAAGAGTATCCAGCCAAGAAAAAGGAACTTCCCTTGCCAATCTTCATTATGGGACTTAACTACTGGACCAATAAACCGAGTTCTGTAGTAATACTAAATCCATGTTTTACATGTTCATATGCGCATATACTTCAGTTTGTGGTAAACCTACATACCTCATTCTATACTGCAAGTTATCAACAATCTATTTCCTGGCATTCTGTAGAATATTCTAAGTTAACTACTTCAGTTATTATTAAGAAAAGATATCTAAACCGGTATCTCCAAGCAACCTTTATTAGTCAAATCTTTGCTCTCAAACACTGAACAAATCAAGTAAGAACCGTCCTTTCTGTAAAGATTCTGAAGATAAAATATTGGTACATAACCTTTCTAATATTACTTAACACTTCATCATATAGTAGAAATTAATGCTATTTTACTGAAAACATATTCAAAAGTACAAAAAGGAAAGACAAGCAATGCTCGCTGATAACAGAGACAGCACACCTGTACACTGAGTTAGACAGCATCACGAGTGAGCGCGTTAAGGTTGCCTACACACACACCGTGATCTGAATAAGTACAAGCAGTGAGATGAGACGATGAGTGCTCTTAATTAGCATTAACAAGTAAATGGATGGTTAAATACAAATCTAAAACTCATGAAGGCACTTGCTTTTGCCAAAATAATCAAATCCAGGGAGGAACTTAAATAAAAGTGTGCAATTGTACTTGGGAATCAATTAACTTATGTGTGTTTAATTCCCTGTGAAATGAACATCATTATCACACAATTCACAATATTCCCAATCACCAGATAAAATTAAAATAACCAAATGTTAATTTGGAGATGAATAAAATAAAGGGAAAGAGAAACAGCAGTAGAATGCAAGAATCTGATCAGATTCACCTTACAAGCTAAGAACACTGTTAAAATGAAAGATTATAAGATGTTCTTAAGGGGTAGTCCATATTTGAGGAAAAGGGCCAAAGAGAAACTGGACTGTTTTATCTACTGTTATAAATTCAAAGGGATTTATGAAAGGGTCACTTTCACATATAGTAATACCGAATTTGGGCAAGTTTCAGCCAGTCTCACACACACAAGCAAAGCATTTTAGATTAAAAAAAAAAAAGAACACATTATCTAAGGCATGAAAAAAGGCAATTAAATGCACATACAAAAAATAATCATTTTATAAAGACATGAATTTAGCCTGATAATAGTGATACTGAAGTAAGAGCTAGAACAAAGGTATGTATTTATGACAAATGTGAACATCCAGATGAAGAGTAGAGTAACAATAATGAAGATAATATCCCAAATGTCGGATATCTGATTAAGATAATTATCAAAATGTATTTTTCACATCTTATTATATTTTTAGTATCCTTCCATTTGAAATTCGAGAAAGGCAGGCTTTACAAGATAATGAAGTTTGACTTAGTCAGCTCACTCAAATAATGTAAGATCTTTATTAATTAAAACCTCATGTGACTTGATTTTAAGTTAAATTTTATATAAAAGAAGCTAAGCATTGAAAACAACTGGAAGATGACTAACCATTAAAGAAACATTAAGTATAATTTAGTACATTGTATTTTCTAAATCAGTAAACATTTTTGCACCAAGTAAAACTAAATCGTGAATGGTTTATATTTAATTATGTTCAACAGAATTTCAACAAAATTGATTATTTCTTCCCAACAGCATTCTGGGCAAGTATGCCTTTTTAAATATTTAGTAATAGAATTATAAATAAACGTGACAGAAAAATGTAAGGGAAAAATGACTGAGAAAAGTCAAACTGTCTAGAAATTTCTAGGGAATAAAACTGTACTGAATAAATGAGTCTTTGAAAGCCCATTGCATATTTCAGCTTCCTTCTGTCTTCCACCCTCCCTCCTCCGTCTGTCTCTCTGTCTCTGTCTCTTGTCTCTGCCTCTCTCTCTCAGAACCAATCTTGAGCTCAATAGAGTGAATCCAAACACTTTAGACGCTGCCTGGTTATATTAGCGGGTTACATTGTAGTTAACTCAGGTAGTTAACCATCCAAATTACCAAGATAATACAAAGTAGGGCATATGGAAGCCAATCTAAAATTCGTTCTCCTTTTTCAAAGGACCACTAGATTTTTAGGGAACAAATGAACCACAAAATCACTTCCAGACATGTGTGCTTGTGTGTGTATCCTCTTAATGAATCATGACTAAATTATATTCCCTATGATTTTCATATATGAGATAGATTTATAGGCAAATTAATCAAGCTTAATGAAGGAACTTAACAATCAGTATGCAAATATGTGCCTCTCATTCACTTACAAAGGTTAAATAAAAAGCTATTTTTCTTGATTATCTTGACTATCTTTTCTTGGATCTATGTTACCGTTATATACATGTTCAGCTATTTTACATGTATTTATATACCATTATATAGACATTTTCTATGGCATCTATTCTTGCACAAGTTAAGAAATAAGGCAGAGTTTCTTTAAACTACTTATTTGGAATTATTGGGCAATTATTAGCTGAAAACCTGGTATAAACACAACAGAATAACTTTTTGATGCATAAACTTAATAAATCAGTTCATTTAAAAAATACTGCTATAATTTTTATATTATTATGAACCCTTCCATGTGATTTTTACAAAAGAGAACAAGAGTACTTTCAGAAAAATCGGAAGACACAAGACAAAAATAAAATGTAAAAAAAATTTATAATACTATTATAACTCTGCAACACATAAAATTTAAACTTCTACATTCATCTATTACATCTCAAATTATGTTTCAGCTATATATAATTTTGATTTTTTTCTCAGTAACATTCTTGTCACTTCAAAAATGCTATAAATAAAATATTTTTACTTTTTATATGTCATAGTGAAGAGAATATCAGAATCCACTGCCACATTAAAATATAGAGAACAATCTTTATGAACAATCATTAGCAATAATTCAAGGAAAATTAATTATCAGTATATAGTATGCTTAGAAATGACTTTGAGTCTTCAAAATTCATTGAAAGATGACAGGATTATTTTGTGCCACAAGATCTACCAGTAATTGTTTTCCTTCATTTTATTTTTTACTTCTTTTTTAGCTCTCTGAATATATCAAAAATTAACAAAATTTTCAGTGTCTTCAGTGTTCTACCCCCTCTACACCAGAGGGCAGGCAAGGAGCAAAAAGAGGCCTTGAAATTCTTATCACA